TTTCTTTCTTTCTTTCTTTCTTTCTTTCTTTCTTTCTTTCTTTCTTTCTTTCTTTCTTTCTTTCTTTCTCTTTCTTTCCCTTCCTACCTTCCTTCCTTCCATCATTCCTTTCTTTCTTTCCTTTGTTTCCTCTCTTTCTTGCTCTCTCTCTTTCTCCTCCCTCCCTCCCTTCTCTTTCTGTCTCTTTTCTTTTCTTTCCTTCTTTCTTTCTTTCTTTCTTTCTTTCTTTCTTTCTTTCTTTCTTTCTTTTCTTTCTCTTCTTTCTTTCTCTTTTCTCCTTCCTCCCTTCCTTCCTTCCCTTTCTTTCTATCTCTTTTCTTTCTTTGTTTCTTTCTTTCTCTTTCTCTCTTTCCTTCCTTCTCTTTCTATCTCTTCTCTTCTCATCTTTTCTTTCTTTCTTTCTTTCTTTCTTTCTCTCTCTCCTTCCTTCCCTTTTTCTTTCCCTTTCTTTCTCTCTTCTTTTTTTCTTTCTCTCTTTCCCTCCTTCCTTCTTTTCTCTTTCTTTCTCTCTTTCCCTCCTTCCTTCTTTCCTTCCTTCCTTCTCTCTCTTTCTTTCTCTCATTCTCTCCATTCCTTCTTTCTTTCCTTTCTTCCTTCCTTCTCTTTCTTTCCCTTTTCTTTCTCCTCTTTCTTTCTTTTCTTCCTTTCTTCCTTTCTTTCTCTCTTCTTTTTTTCTTTCTCTCTTTCCCTCCTTCCTTCTTTCCTTCCTTCCTTCTCTCTCTTTCTTTCTCTCATTTTCTCCATTCCTTCTTTCTTTCCTTTCTTCCTTCCTTCTCTTTCTTTCCCTTTTCTTTCTCTTCTTTCTTTGCTTCCTTCCTTCCTTCCTTTCTCTCTCTCTTTTTTTCTCTTTCTCCTTCCTTCCTTCTTCCCACACAATGTCGGGTATAGGGTATACCTTGAAGGCAGGACACAATTGTAAGAGATATTCTACCTACAGAATGCAAACATTGCAACCCGATTCTTTGTGCCCTCAATTAACATTTCTGTCTTTCGAGTCAGAGTCTCACTCTGTCCCCCCTGGGTAGAGTGCCATGCCATCATCACAGCTCACAGCAACCTCAAACGTCTGGGCTCAATTGATCCTTCTGCCTCAGCCTCCCAAGTAGAGGGGACTACAGGTGCCTGCCACCACACCTGCCTAATTTTTCTATTTTTAGTAGAGATGGGGTGTCACTCTTGCTCAGGCTGATCTCCAAATCTGAGCTCAGGTGATCCACACACCTTAGCCTCCCAGAGTGCTGGGATTACAGATGTGAGCACTTTTTTATTTTGAGATCTCTCTGCAGCTGCATGCCATTGTGGGAAATAACCCAGAGAAGCCTCTGCTCGGTTTGTCCTGGTGGTAATATCTTGCAATACTCCAGAGCAGTGATTTTCAACTACTGTGCTGAGGCTCACTGGTGTGCCGTGAGAGGGTGTGCCACGAGGAGTTTTCAAGATCATTAAATTACTTGCAGACAAAGTTGAAAGCACAGTGAGTATATTCTTTTCTTCACTCTTTTCTTTCCCATCAATGTAATTTAAGTGTGCCGTGGAAGTTTAACTGTAAGTTCAAGTGTGCATCAACGTAATTTAAGTGTGCCGTGGCAGTTTAACTGTCTGTTCAAGTGTGCCATGAGATTTTTGAAAAGGTGGAAGAACGCTGTTCTAGTGAAATCGCTCAACTGTGATGTTGACTGGGCTACACTGAGGATTCTGACAATTTCCATCACCCCAAGGTCTGTATTTATGGACACATCCACCTCTCTCTGGCCCCTCCCCCTGCTCGACCCCTGCACGTCACAAACCTGTTTCTCATTTATACGATTTTGTCATTTCAAGACCATCTTCTACATATGAGTTCAGATTGTATATTGCATCTGCTGTTGACTTTTTTCCTCACATAGCGTGAATCCTTAGAGATGCCTCCACGGTATAAGTAATTATCTTTTTTTGCAGTTTTTGGCTGGGGCCGGGTTTGAACTCACCATCTCCGGTATGTGGGGCCGGCACCCTACTCCTTTGAGCCACAGGCACCGCCCCAGTCTAAGTAATTCTTTTGACCTTGTGGAGGGCCGGGGAATGAGGGCGAGGGGAGGAGGGAATGGCATGGGTGTGCTCCCACTTAATGGGCACAAGGTTAGGGCTTACGGCACACCTCTTGGGGGTGGTACGCAATTATAAGAGGGACTTTACCTAAAACACACAAACACTGCAACTTTGTACCGTCAATGAACCCGAAACAATAAGAAATAAAAATAAGCCAAATGACGCCAATGAAATAAAGAACCCTGAGAGCTGGTTAAAATGCAAACAGAATAAGCATTTCTCCTGACCTGGCTCAGGGAACAGAATCCACGTGGAGAAGGGTGGCTCGGACGCCCTGACAGTGTAGTTTGAGACGGTGCAGAGGGAAAGGCCATCAATATGGCAATACATATTTCTCATTGCCTGGGAAAGATGTAAGAATCTGGTGATAGTTTGGAGAATATACTTGGTCCGATATTAATAATTCTTTCAAGTTACAATGCCATTTTATTTTTTTTAATTTGTTTTTTGAGACAGTTTCACTGCCATGCTGGCTAGTGTGCCATGGCGTCTTAGCTCACAACAACCTTAAATTCCTGGGCTCCAGCGATCCTCCTGTCTCAGCCTCCGGAGTAGCTGGGACTACAGGTGCCCACCAGAAGCCCTGTCCCTTTTCTTATTTTCGATCAACATAATTTAAGTGTGTCATGGACGTTTAACTATAGGTTCAAGTGTGCCGTGAGAGAAAAAAAAAAAAAAGGTTGAAAAACACTACTCTAGCTGTCCAAACCCAGGAGATGACAGGCTAGAGTGTTAGGGAGGCCTCGGGGATGAGGACCGGGCTTTCTGAATATTCACTTTCAGTTCTCTGTTTCTCTACCTGAAATATCTGAGCCCACCTCGACACCCATGCTGTTGAGTGTACATGGAGGAGGAACTGCTATGTCGGTGGTGGAAACCTACTGCCTGTACACCCCATGGCTTACTATGCACGGACCCTACATGGTCGTGATGCCAGAGACGGCTCACCCTTTGGGCTCTCCTGGTTCTTGGACCCCTGCACGATGTGGAAACAGTGAGTGGGCCAATTGTGGAGAACGTGGTTTACCTCTATGTGCTGTATCGAGTCTTTGATACACTCAATTTTGGACACATTTCCATTAAGGTCCCAGGTCAACCGTTCGCTTTCTGGGTCCACCCTTAAGTTCTTGATGGGTGAGTTGGGATCTGAAACGTTTACAGGTCACAGTTAGGAGAGATATAGAAGGTTCTTTAAACAGCACCTGCTGGCCACAATGTCAGCCAAGGAATACCTTTGGGAATCAGATCTCATCAACATTGACAAGGGCTAGTAGAAGCCAGGAGCCAATAGCACATTATTGATCTCACTAGTCTTCCCAATGAAGGTCCCATCATCACCTTCCCAGCTGTCAGGGGGAAGAGTCAGCAAAACACATCAAGCTCTTTCTGTGTATGTGAGATTTACCCACCATGGCCAGCTGTGTCATAGTGTGCTGTTCTCATGGACAAGTGAGAATACAACTTGCCTTAGAAATTTGGCTAGTTCTCCAATACAAAACGTGATTTTGGAATGGCAATTTTCAAAGTACTATGACTGGCTATCTATCATCTATCTATCTATTCTATCTTTATCTATCTTTTATCTATCTATCTACTCTATCCTATCTGTCTATGTATCTATCTATCCTGTCTTACCTATCTATTATCTATCCATTCTATCTTATCTATCTATGTATAGCTACATATATGTACCTATCTACCCATCCACCCATCTCATCTTATCTATCTGACCACTATCTATTTATTTATCCATCCAGCCATTCATTCTCTTATCTATCTATCCTCTGTCTATCTATCTATATTTATCCATCATCAATCTTATCCGTCATCCACCATCCATCTATCCATCCATCTATCCTCTTATCTGTCTATTTATCCACTATTTATCTATCCATCCATCCGTCTATCCATCCATCCATCTATCCATCTGTCCATCCACCCATCCATCCATTCATCCACCCACCCATCCATCCATCCATCCATCCATCCATCTATCCATCCATCCATCTATCCATCTGTCCATCCACCCATCCATCCATTCATCCACCCACCCATCCATCCATCCATCCATCCATCTATCCATCCATCCATCTATCCATCTGTCCATCCACCCATCCATCCATTCATCCACCCATCCATTCATCCACCCACCCATCCATCCACCCACCCATCCATCCATCCATCCATCTATCCATCCATCCATCCATCCATCCATCCTCTCATCTATTTATCCAGTATTTATCTATCCATCCATCCATCCATCCATCCACCCA